AAGCTGAAGAGCTCTAAACACTTGCTAGAACAGTGCATTATGAGATGAGATCTCCTTTAACTCTCACTACTCACCACTCACGATAAAAGTAGCATGTCGGCAACAAGGACGCCCAAGTTTTAAGTCTATTCTGTGTAAGCCAACTTGACCGTTTGTGAAATCCAAGCAGTGCAGCCCTAAACTTTTTTTACCGTGTGATTACACCTTTTGATTGGGAATTTCTGCAGCTAAGTAGTTGGGTGTAGTGGGTGAAGAGGTTATCCAAACAGAAGAAAGCATTCTACTTTGCAGTCCTCAAGCCACTGGTGCGAGAACTGATTGTAACTTTACCGGAGCGGTTAAGGTGTGTCGAGTGCATGTTTGAAGAGGGGTGGAACGTCATATATCACAAAGGGAGTGGTCTCCTCCACTGATAATTGTTCCAAGGCTAAGCGTCACTGCAGCCGCCAATTTTCAAGTCACCTTGACAGTTATCAGCTAATTTGTCAAATGAACTTTCAATAAATCCCAATTCCGCAGTCCAATCCCTTGGAGGGTACCCATCATGTACTTTCAGCAGGAAAATGGAAAGAAATATTGTAATGAATTTTATTCAAGTCGAATGAAGACTCTGCAGTAGTAGGAATCCCCTCCAATTAGTAGGCAAAATAATGGACAAGTTAACTGAGGGCACAAGGAAAAAACGTACACAATCCTTTCAGTTGATTAATGACACATTCCAAAATTCACATGATGGAGAAAATAGAAAATTGCAATTTATTGGGGAAACAATTCTAATATACAATTTGGCATGTGCGTCAGGGAGTGAGGGCACCAGAAGCGTAGAGACGAAATTGTTGGAGGTACTCCTCACTCGGCTTGTTCTTCAAGAACGGCACCACACGGTCGATCAGTCCGTCGATCTTGTTCGGCTTGTCCAGTCCCAGCATCGCACAGATGTAGGGGTAGAGGTCGATCTGGTAGAAGTGTTGGCGGTCGGCGAAATGTGGAATGTCAGGACCCATTGCCAGCATGAAGGGATGCATGTCGGGCTCCTCGTTGTCATAGCCGTGCATTCCATCTGTTGCGGATCAAAGGTAAAACAAAGTGGCACCTTTTGAATATGAAAGGTTGAGGTAAATAAGGAGCTGTAAGTACTAGGTAAGAAATGAGCGTACACAAATCGGTGTAACCGCCTTCGCGAGTGCTGATTAGCCATCCGTTATCCGCGATCGCGTAGATTGGTGGAATTCGTGGGTTTTTCTTAAAGTGATATCTGTCCGGTATGTCCTCTTTGTAGTATACATTTAGATGCTCAGTTCCGTTAATTCGCTTAAATACCTCCTCGATCGTAACTTTTTTACTCATGTTCCGTATACCGAGAGTAGCTGGCGAAAGGTCCAGCATGAGGTAGCTGCTTATGTTTTTTAGTGGAGTGTACAAGTCAATTACGGTTTTATTGGGATCAACATATGCCATTCCGTGATCCGCTGAAATGACAATGTTGACTTTCCCCTTCAATGATGGTGTTTGGTCTATTCGCTGCAACAGTTT